ATATATATATAGTGACGAACGCAACTAGTTTGGCAACGAGTTTGAAATACGCATGTGAATGTATTTGCGGAGATCAGTTTGTTGTAGTCATATTGTGAAAGGCTGTGATTGTCGTACTGTACGTTGTATTTCGACAAACTGTCGTTAAAGTATTTCCCTTTGTAAAGTCAAGTACGCTGGCGTTTTTGCCGGCCATTGATACTTTTGGGTTCTCATATATTTCATGTACTGTTTCCAATTATTTATGCATGTCTAACTTCAAGTTCAATTGTTTACATTCGGGATTATACATACCCATATATTTATCATAGTTTATACTATATTTGGAGAGATTTATAACGTGCTAAGCTTTACGTATTCGAGGAACGTAAGTGTATCTATGTGCGTAGATTATTATTCTGTATCGCGAGCAGTGATAGCTGTCATAGTTGTGCTGATCGTTGCACTGTTTAAGCTGTAAAAATATTGTCAAGTACTATTGCGTGCTTTAGACAACACTTTCCAAGTACAAACAACATGCTCGTGTGCCAGGAATTTCAACAGGGTGCTTGCACTGACCTTTGTTTCGTTTATGTGTAATACAGAGTCTTAAATAAGCTCACAGTAGACAACAAGGACAGACTTATCGACCAATTGCTGGAAGTCGGCCTCTTTAACATTGAAATCCTACAAGGCTTGGTACATCTGGTGAGTGGCTTGCCAACCGCATTTGCGATTCCGTTTGCCGCGTACTCGAGCACAAAGTATTGCCTCACTCGCATTTACTATTGCCTTTCCCATTCAATCGAGTGCGTCCTACCTGCAGGCGTGCGTATTTGTATATTTGCACACGCTGTACTGGCCCCTGACTTGTGCACGGATTCTCTATTTGTCAGTCGCGGGTGCTGTTGGGGTACTAACAGGCCTTGTGAATGGTGCATCCATTGTTGTCACAGATCTTTGCCAAAGCATGCGACGAACCACACTTCAGTCCGCTTTATGCGGACATTTGCGTCGAGCTCGCGAAGAAGGTTCCCAACTTCGATGTTTCCGATAGATCCGGGCCGGTATGTCATGAGCTATTATAACGCAATGTGGGTTTACCATTTCTCGAACCATTATCATCTGAGGCGATATGAATAATTTACCTTTTTGTATGGGATAATCCCACTTCTCGACCCTTGTTCATCTTTATTTTCCCAAGGACCAGTACACGTGGCTTTCAAAAACCACTTACACACCACATACCCCTGATATACGCCACAGACCTTCAAGCGATTGATTGTGAAGCGATGCGAGGAGAAGTTCTCGCGGCGGGCGGGCAATCTGAGTGAATTCGCAAAGAAAAAGGCCAATGGCGCACTCAGCGCTCAGGATGAGGAACGCCTGTTCTTGGTCAAGCGCAAGATGCTGGGCAACATCAAGTTCATTGGCGAACTGGGCAAGCAGCGTATGATCTCAGAGAAAATCTTACATCAGTGCATCACGCAGCTCTTGGCCAAGGTACTGTATGTGTGTCTACACATGCACACTTACACCATGTAGGTGTACTAAACACACTCACACGCACGCACACACACACACACATATA